GTCCATTTCAAATCAACTATTCAACCAATTCTTCAGCTATCATCTCTTTTTCTTTTCACTTTATTCTGAATAAAGATACAACACAGTCTCATCGTATTTTCTACTTTGTTTAAACCTATCCAAATCCAAATACAACATAAGCATCTTCCTGTTGATGCGACGCCATTGCCTCTTATCTCCAATATATTCGATGCTATGGTAGGATCCGTTGTTTTTACCACACTTGATCTCAAATCTGCATTTAACCAATTTCCTATCAACCCTGACGACAGGGTCAAAACTACGTTCACGGCACCAAATAACCTGCAATATATGTACAGATGTCGTGTTTACATAGATCACACATCTCTTAATTCTCTATTTATTCATTCTCAGCTAATAGACGACGTCAGACATTTACAGTCGTCATCCCTCATATATATTCAGGTCGTACCCTCATTTATTAGCTCCTCTCTCAGACTTATAATAAAAATAGTAATTGTTAGCTATTGACTCTTCACTGTTTTTCAACTATATAAGCACAAATATCACAACAGAGGATCTCCTTTTGGGATTTCCACAATCAGTCAACTCTTCTCTCGAGTCATGTTGACATTATTTAAAGACTTACCGTACGTGCAGTGCTTTGTCGACGATTTGTGCATTCATAGCTCTTCTATGCAAGCACATTTCCATCACGTTAAAACCGTAATTCAAATCCTTACGAGAGCTAATCTGCGATTGAACTTTTCGAAATGCTTTATGGCGAAATCTGCAGTGTATTTGCTTGGATATTCTATTTCTGCTGAAGGAAAAAGGATTGACAACCGCAAACTTACAAACATTATGGAATGGCCCAAACCAACCACCTCAAAACAAATCATGAGCTTCTTGGGTGTAGCAAACTTTTTTCGTCTGCACATTCCTAATGCTGCACTTCTAATGGGACCGTTGGATTACCTTCGTAGTCATAACGAGAAAAAAGAAGGACCATTCATTTGGACTTCAACACACCAAATGCATTTTGACAGTATAAAAAACATTTTGGCCTCAGAAATTGTATTAAGTCACCCGGATCCGTCACACCCTTTCTGCATCTCTACAGACGCTTCCGATTATAGTATTGGCTGCTGTTTGTATCAAGAGTACAAAATTACGAAAGATGATGGTACGACAAACACGATTATCAAATATATCGGCTTTATGGCCAGATCTCTTACCAGATCTGAGAAGTTGTATAGCGTCACGATGAGAGAACTTCTTGGTGTTGTTTATGCTCTTAAGCAATATCACAAGTTCATTTGGGGCAGTTACTTTACTCTATATACAGACCATCGTGCATTGTGCTACTTACACAGTCAAAAGACAGCTAATAATATGATGATCAAATGGCTTGATATTATTCTTGATTATAATTTTACTGTTGTTCATGTTAAAGGTCTTGACAATATCATTAGCGACAAGTTATCAAGATTATTTCCTCCTCGTGATGACAATGAGCATGATAAGGACATGAAAAAGCGTGACCAACTTGCTCTACGACGTTCAAACTTTGCCACTTCAAATGCTATGAACCAAAAGAAAATATCCAAACTTAAACAATCCTATAGTGACCGAAATATGGAACAAAATGCTTCCAAAACCATCCTTTATGTTCAGAGTGGACAGACATTATGTCCTGACTATTTAATTCCCCCTGAATCAGAAAGAGCGAATCTTCTCATTGACGCTCATCATAAAGTTGGTCACTATGGTGCAGAACAAATGGTAAAACGATTGCATTCGGAAGGCATTCACTGGCCCAACTTAATCTCGGATGCTGTTCAATTTATCAGAAAATGTCACGAATGTCAACGACATAACATTCAGAAAAAAGGTTATCACCCTTTAAGACCCATCTACAGCTATTGTCCTGGCGATCATTATGCTATTGATCTTGGTGGTCTTATAACAACCGTGAAAGGCTCACACGTAAACTACTTCATGGTGATAGCTGATGTATGCACAAGATTTTGTATCATCAAAGGACTTCCTGATAAGCAAAGTACACCTATTGTATCAGCACTAATTGACGTTTTTTCCATACTGGGATATCCGACTAAATTGCAATCTGATAATGGTCGAGAATTTTCTAATTCCCTTATGAAAGAATTGGCTGATGCGATGGATATTGATCATCGTTTCATTACTCCTTTGCATCCTTCTGCAAACGGTCTAAGTGAGCGCTATGTTCAATCTGTAAAAAAGCTACTTGCTAAAGCCACTAACGGGACAGGCGTAAACTGGCACATGTATCTACCGGCTGTTCAACTAGCTTTGAATAACCAGATTAGTAAACGTCTAAACTCTACTCCCTTTTCCCTCATGTTCGCTCGTCGGATGAATGATCCTCATGGTTTTCGTTCTTCCAAAAATGAATCTAAAAATGATAAAAACAAACTACCCATGTCGCATGAAGAATTACTTAAGCGCATTGATTACCTGGCCGATGTTGTATTTCCTGCAATTGAAGCCAAGACCAAAGAACAAATGGAAATTGAGAAAGCTAAATTTGACAATACACATCGTTTAGCTGAATATACGCCTGGCAGTCATGTCATGGTTCGTATTAAAGAAAAAGCTGGTCAACTTGACGCTGTTTATGAAGGTCCATATACAGTTGTCCGTAAAAACCAAGGTAACGCGTATGTCCTACGTGATGAAACAGGTGTTATTATGCCTCGTAATTATACCACAGCTGAATTAAAACTGATATCAAGAGATGAAGTTGTGGAACTTGATGATGAAGGTAACGAAATTACCAACTATGAAGTTGAGGCTATCCTTAATCATCGTGGTCCACCTAACAACTATGAATATCTTGTTCGTTGGAAGAACTACAGTTCAAAATGGGATGAATGGCTACCGGTTAAAAACTTTAATGACTCTAAAATCATTAGAAATTACTGGAAACGCTTAGGTGTTGATTATAAGCTAAAGAAAAGTAGTGTTACTACTAACTCTCCTACTTCTGCTGCATCCTTAAAAACCACTCCAGCTGGCACGATTTCCAAACTCATCGACTCAATGTCAGACATTTCTTTGTCAACTGATGTTGAAGCGTCAGATTCTTCTGTTGTTAATCCAAATGTGCAAAATAAGAACAAAAAACCAAAGTCAAAATCAAACCGTTCTTTAAAGCGTAACAAAGCCACATCTTCTGTTACACCCACACGATCCAGTAAAAGACTTAAAAAATCCCACTAATTGCATTCATTTAATGATGCTCTTAGTAGACATCTATTTACTTCATTCTCTCAGTATAAACCAATTTTTTCAAACGTAATCTCAAACTGGTAAGGGGCAATGTCGTATTTGACCATGTCTAATACTAATCTTTACGTGTGAGATTAAATTTGACTTAATTACATTTACCTTAGTTAGTACTCCGACCTCTTTTAAAACAACCTAGTTTCTTTTTGCTATGAGCTTTTATTCTACCATTACCGAGTACTAACAACAACAACAACCGATACCTCAAAATCAAACCAAAAGTTCATTTACTTGATGTGCAAGCATGAAAAAGAGTACGAAAACAATCATAAGCGTGTTTCTGGAGACAAAAATATCATTGTTCGCCAAAAGGATACCCAGCGCATTGGTTGTCCTTGCTACATTTACGCAAGCAAGAACAAATTCCAGCAGTTCGAAATTCGCAGATTACACGCATTGCATTCTCACCAAATGGCTACGGGTTGCCGAACGTACGGTGTTTTCCGTCATTTAGACACAGTGAAGCTCAACGCTGTGCGCAATTTTTTTGAAAACACGAAGTGTAATGCGAGCTCTATTTTGGAGGTAAAGAGAAGTAGTGAATGCCTTGAAAACATCCACCACAAACCTTTTTTTCCCTCTCATTATTAGAATCTTATTGCTTAAGGCATTAACAACTTAGTAACCAGAGACTTGCACAACATCAGGCAACAACATTTCAAATCAAAGGAATCCGAGTCCAGTGAAGTTCTCAACTTTATCAACAACTTGAAAACAAAGGGTTACATTGTCAAGCTTAGAGCCAATTCCAACAATGTCGTTGACATGGTTTTTTTTTTTGCAGAATTTGAGGCAATTGCGGAAGCTCGTCGTATGTCTGAATGTTTGTAATTGATGCCACGTATAAGACCAGCTCCCATGGGATGACGTTGTTCAACATTGTTGGCACGAGTAACACTACAGGAGACATAAGAAATACCTTAACAACGTATCATATTACGGGAGGGTGGATGGAACATGAAAAAACCCAGAACTATTTGTGGGTTGTGCAAATATTCAAAGATTCTGTGTTTCCTGACGCTTTGATCGCAAACGCCTCTTTGGAGCTTCCAAGGTTGATTTATGGGCAGTAGAAAAGGTAAGTGAAATTTACAGAACAAGTTAAACATATATGATATGTACAGAGTGTATGAAAATAAAGAATTACACGAATCATGATCAATAATTTCTTTCAATTTGACATAAGTGAGTGCTATTATTGCTTAAAACGAACAGATATTATGAATTAAATATATAAACTTTCGTGAAATTACATTTATAAAGACACGAGTATACTTATATTTATGCTGTTATGCTTGAAATAATCTGCGACATATGAAATGTAAAGATAGCGAGACCTTAGAAATTTGAAAAACGAGCAGGAAATGTTCAAAAAAAGTGTGGGTTTGCTGAATAAGCATACTGACTACCGCGTTCAGCAACTACAGGGCAAGGTGTCTAAGTTTGCTATGGACAAAATTAAGCTTGAACTTGCTAAGCTTTTCTCTGACCCTTCTTGCATACCACTTGCGCAATGTAGTTGCTATTATCGCAACAATTACAGACTTTCTTGTAAGCATGTACTTTGCCAGTTTGGTATTATCCCTCTCAACATCATAGCAAAAAGATTGTTAAACATCAGCTCGTTGAGCGCTAGTAAGTATTATAAGATAGCACAAACATACATGTACAGGCTCTTAACAATAACTCTTTTTTTTTTTTTTTTATCTATATAAATAGTTCAAAATCATATGCATGCAATTGAAGAATCAAAAGCTGATCCAGCCCTAATTGATGCAAATTTGTAGAAAGCAATTCTGGAGCTGCAAGATTTAGCGAAAAATTAAAGAGTGATCAGGACAAAGAGAGCTTACTTCAGCAAATTGAAAACTTGAAAAAGAATGCAGAAGCAAACGAAAAATGTGTGGAAAACTTCCAGTTTCCTTCTATATAAGTGGAATTGAAAGGAAGACCGAAGAACACAAAGCGTTTACCGATTGGAATCGAGATATTAGAAGAAGAATTTAGAAAAGAAGCGAAACAGACAAAAAAAGAAGAGAAAACTTTAAAAAAAAATTAGAAAAAGAAAAACAAAAAAAAGTAAATATAAGGTAAGAGTGCATAATAGGGTTATAAGCTGTCTTCTCTTTAACTTCAGATATTATACGCGTAGTAACCGTAGCAGCTGCCTTTTGTTCTGTTACCCTTAGACAATCTACGAATCCAATTGATAAAAACAAAGTAAATTTAATACTGAACCCGATTGGAGATGGAAACTGTGGATTTAGATGTATAGCACACGCTATTTATGGTGACCAACACCAGTTCATATAGGTTAAAGAAAAAATGCTAGAGTATTATTTAAAAAACAAAGTATCTCTATATAAAGGCAAGTGCTTTGACATTTGAACTTATATATCTTTATCGCAGCAGATCGCATAGACGAAAGAATAGAGGAGGTGTTAAAAGACCGTACCACGTTCGCTAGCATTGCCCACTGGTCTGACATAGTTGATGCTCTCCAAATAGCTGCAGATACATACAACATCGTTGTTGCGATGTACAGAAGATAACTGTAGCTCACTTTTTTTGCCTTTTAATAGTAGCCTGCCAGAAAGGAGTCTTCCAATCATCATGTACCTCCAAAACAGCCACTTTTACTTGCTTGAAAGACAACAAAAGAAAAAAACTAGATGGCCTAGAGTTAGCTCATTGTACAGACCAGTTGTTAGAATGTTTGGATTACGTGACAACTCTTTATTACATGAATAAATAATAAAAGGCTTAACCTGTACAACAACATTTATCATTAAAGACATTTCAGCTCTATAATTTTTATTGCTATTAGTAACTTCTATTTTGTATATTAGTTCTAGCTTTTAATTTTGGTTTATATATACTACTTACGCAACAGTTTCACTATGCATGAAGGTAGAGAAAAAAAATACTAGAGTATTCTTTTTATTTAAAAAAAATTGCGAATATAAAGTACCAATAGTATCATATATATATATATATATATATATGCAATTGGTTAATCATGCACACCGCAAGCCCCAGCTTGTGGATGCACGATACTTCACCAAGGAAACCGTGAACAGCCTTAGGTAGTGTGAAGTTGTAGAGTGACATCACAGGTAGCGCCCCGAGGTAGCGCCCGTAACATTAGTCACTTTTTCGTGAATTTTTTCGTGCATGTAGCGTTTCCCTTTTTTTATTATTACAAGAATAGACATTTAGAAATAGCATTCCATGTCAACGGAGAACTTGAAGAAAAAGAATCTGGATTCAAGACAAGTATACATTCCTATACACAAACGTAAGGAAATAGTAGAAAAGAATATCACAAAAACATCGTCTACTGCTGAAGGATGTAATCAGCAACCTAAACAAAATACAAACATAAGGAGAAAAGGCAGAGGGCAATTCAAAGCACCAGATATTACCCATACTTGTACAAATACACAAACTTCACCAAATATTGATAATGAGGTATAAATTCCCCCAAAAAAAAAAACCCAAGTTTGATCACTAATCAATTCTTGATCGAGTAGGCAGAAAGTAATGATTCTACAAAAGACAATTTTCAAGAAGAGGATGAAGATATAAATAAAATAACATCAATGATGAAAGGCACAAGTTTAAACGAAGAATGTAAATATAAAATTTTGCTTGATTGCAAACATATATCTTACACAACGCTTAGCTTCAAGAAAAGAAACGCGTAGACCACGGACTACAGATGCGGTAGCCAGGAGATTAATTGGGCATGCTCTAGGAATAAAAATGACCAAGACTCCTGAGCAGAAACAGGTAGATGATGCTTTATTACGTACAACTAGAGGTAAGTGAGTTAACAGCAAAGCAACAATTGACTTGGTTAACATGAATGATAGAGAGACGTCAACAAGAAAAGGAATGTATGAATGATAAAAAATGATGATTAAAATGGTTTATTTGTATATAGCATATCATCACGAGTCTTTTTCTTTTTTGACTTGCTCATATAAAGCTTTCACCAGTGGTATTGTCCTGCCATCCAGAGGACCACCTGTTGAGTAACCGTTCATAGCATATGCCATAGCAGTATTATATTTTGAATTATAGATGACTAAAGAGCCACCTGCGCCTCCACCCCCTCCAAAGTAGCCCTCTTCACTAATTCCAAAATAAATAAAAGGGAATTCCGTATGGCCACCTCGTTGACAATAGACGGGAAAAGAAAGGAGCTCGTCAAATTCAGCACCTAATTGCTCTGTAAAGTAGTCGAATGTACTGCTGTTTTGGAACAAATTAGGTTCTCCCTGTACAATTGCTCTTCCCTTATTGGCTAACATGGCAGCAATTTTAGCCATCTGGTTCTTGCGTGAGAAGTAGAAGGATAAGAGATATATTACTTACTGAGTTAGCATTTGTGTGGCCAGAAATAGCAGGAGATTCAACCATCTTATGCTTGAGTTCCTGGCCAATAAGGCCCGAGCCTTGGTCGATATGGGTATTCCTAAGGACGCGGTTGTATATCGTAGTTTTGTTAAATTTATTGATTAAACTCTGTTTGAGTTGAGCAGGGCTTAATAACAATCCAAATAGCTCTTGAAGCATTGGTTTTTCATATAGTTGTGAAATACGCTCAAGTTCCAGATCTTGTTCTGCAGCAGGTTTGAGATACCATTCAGAGTTCCACTTGTTTTTGAATTCCTTTGCAAAATCATTCAGAGTCCTCTGCTTTGGATCAACACGTCGAATAATTTCATTAAGATACCATCCTTGAGTGACAGCATGATAAGCTCTAACAGTTTTACCACCAAAATTGTGTGGTTGTGTGGCTAGAATATTTGAGAAACGTGTAGCATTGGTTACATCATCGTAAGACAACGGAACATCCAGTGCAGCAACGCCGGCCTTATGATGCATCTAGTTAATAAAGGTTAGAAAGCTGAAATACCTCTGCTTTTAAAAAATTCACGCTTACAAGATCTATTAAAGTAACATTTTCTTTATCGCCTTGAGCAAACTCTGGCCAATAGGTCGCGATTCGTTCTTCGTAAGATAATAAGCCTTGCTCCACTAGCTGTGCAACAATAATCGCGTTCTTAGGGAACAAACATTTTAGGTTTTAGTTAAATGGGTCAACTATTTACAGCTTACCAAAACCTTTGTTGATGAAAAGACCATTTGCAATGTGTTGTTAGTGTATGGGATTTTGGCCTTTGGATCTTTCCAACCGCCATAAAGATCGACCACTTGTTGACCATCGACATAAACTGAGAGTCCAGCACCTACTTCCAACCCATTCTTGAAGTTTTGTAAAAATATATCGTATATCGACTTGTACTTTTCATCATAATATCCTTGGATAGGAATATCGTGAGGACAATTATATCCAAAGAGCGCACAGCTGACTGGTAAGAAATCAGGCTTTACACCTGATTTATATGTTATGTAAGATACCAAAGGAATAAGTAAACCAGTCAATATTATGAACATGAACAGTTGTGTATAAAAAGATAATAAGTGAAAAGATATTTTTATATAAAAAATAAAAGACCGCAGTAGGCGCATGATGCTAGAAGTGTCGATCCGCCAGGGAAAGGCCAAATAAATACAGCAGATGAAAAATGTGGTGCAACCTTTTTGGTGTTTGGCTTGTTTTAGATGAATGCAGGTTTTTAATCTAAAACGAAACGAGCTGAAGATTATTTTTGGACCAATCAAAACTTAAGTGGAGATATAGTATAAAAAATAAGATAGTTTGAAGCATAATATTAGATGCGTACCTGAAAGCAGGCTATGTAAGCAACTTAATCTATGCATTGACTGCAAATAATAGAAAGCTTATTTCCCTTTTTTTTTAGTGGCTGTTCTTAAGCTGTGGATCCTGCTTATTTCATTTTGGGAACGATTATGAGCAATGTAAAGTCATGTAACATGTTAAAAGTCTAGCTGTAGCATAAAGAAAACTATACGTGTATTTGAGTATCATAATTAATCAAGGGGAACCAGATGATATATGAAAGCCACTTATAAAATGTTGTCAATAACTTATATAACCAATGAATGGGTGGCAGTGCTGTTTATTTTTCTTTTCATTTTAGAAAAGAAGCTTTCAGCCTTGAATAGAAGAGCAGAAGCAGATGATTATTCATTTGACATAATCAAGCTTCCTTTTGTTTAACTGGGAAAGCAAAAATGTACTGTAATAATTTGTCTTTTTCTCTTTTTATTCCAATAACGCAATGATGAGGGCTATTGGGGTAGTAAATGCAAGTAAAACAGTTGTTGGGAATGCAAATGAAAAACTAGTCCACGGTAAAGGTATTGATAAAAAAGGGCTTAATGATTAACAACCACCCATGACTCTGGACTTGGCGTTTTCGACGATGATTTCGCTGGAAGAGACAATGTAATATGAAAGGCTGTTAACGAGGGGCTGCAGTGCATTACCCAGATCATAGTTTCTCAAGATGGCAATTGGCTCATTTTCGCCAAGCAATCCCAATGTAACTACTAATTGTTTCTTGTGGTTGGTGTCCACCAAAAAGAAATAAACCCCTTTGCCAATACAGGCTTATGAGCCTTGAAGCCTTGCACAATAGTCTCACAGAACAACCGCGAAGTAGTCAGACGAGGATGACTTGTTCCTGTATGATATTTCACAAAGGATAAACATAGTCCATAGCTATATCTTGCAATTATTGCCAAAAAGTATAGGCTTAAAAGCCCTTTAAGGCACAAAAGGAGAAAATAGGTGCAGTAGAATTGAAATAAAAAGAGGTTTGGGCATAAAACTTAATTCAGAGGTTGAAGTAGTCAATTGAAGAATCGGTGCCCTAGCTTGTGTGGCAAAGAAGGGGTGCCTTTTTCGTGATATATAAGCTCGAGTTCATGAAAGATGATACATACAGTAAACCAATGAGGAGTGCAGGAATTCGTGTGTGAAAATAAGGAAGGAGAGAGGATCTTCAATTGTTTGGGACATAAACAATCGACGGCGCATATGTAAGCACTGAATAACGTGAATTCTGGTAAATACTTGAGGCAAGCATCAATTGGGAGGAGCCAAACAAAGATACGCTTGAGAAATGACTGAATATGCTATTAAGAAGCGGTATTACGCTTCAATTATTATTAATTGGAGTACAATGACAAGGATATAATTGTGCAAGTTGTATTAGACTGCTATAAAGAAACCGTTAGACTCAGCTTCGACTTTAGCCGATCACAGAATAACTATAATTCTTTAAAGCAACACCTTTTCCCTCAATTATTCCACATCCCAGCAGCTGACAAGTAAACTGCCTTTAAAGACACTCTCAACATTATCTAACAATACTTCTATTTATTTGTTTGCTTGTTTGTTTATTTACATTTATCCTAGCTTTTTTTTTTTGAAGGATACATGATATGAAGCTAGCAGCCTTTCAAAGAGCTATCTTGAGACATGATGTTTGATACACATATAAATATTCATTAACTCTGTGTTTGATAATATTGATAAAGCTGAGGTATATCTTTATACAAATTGTACTCTAAAATGATATTGATTGTATACACTCTTATTTTCCTTTTTAGGGAAGAGTCAAGTGACAGAGCATCGTCTTTAAGATAAAAACAAGAGAGCTAGATTTTGGGTGAAAAACATATACGTGAGCAAAAGGTACAACCTGGTTCTTGGGGGTGCCATAGAAGATAATGAACAAGCAGTTGAATATAGCTGTGCTGAAGCTGAGCGACATTTGGTGATGGAGAAAATGAAACAAAGACTTTGCGTGAATCAAGGCTCAAAATGTCTATTTCTAAAAGGCATGTTTGGCAATATGTTGGTAGCCACCTCAAACAACAAAAATGTGGTTGGAAAATATACACAATTGATTTTTCATTATGGTAAGCTATTATACTAGTCAAAGATGCTACGTTTCAACGTTAACAAAAATGTTTAGTTACAGTTTTGTGATAATACAAAAGTAATAATAGACAATAAGATACAGTAAGGCTGAATTAATTCTTTTATTTGATAAAGAGTAGTTCTTATTTATACTATTCAAGTTTACTGTGGGATTGTAGTTGACGTGGGTCTAACAGTTATTCCGGGGTAAAGTAGCTTAATTAAGGGTTTCCTGGTTTTACTACTGTGACATCTGAATCAAGAAATGATGTTATGTGCTAGTAAGTGTTATTGTAAGGGTAATTTTCTTAGTTTCAATAAGCGTGAATTATGCTCGGATATGACAAGTTTTCGCACTTTTAAATTCAGACATAGTTAATACAACTTACACTGTAAGGACGTATGAGAGAGTCATATCAGTCATACGGAAGGTTGGTCATT